AACTGCCGTTTAAGTGTACGTTTTATTTTGGTAAACCAGATGTTAAATAGAAAAGTAAGAGACAAGAAAACTTAAGTTAAAGCATAGTAGCGCGATCTATTAAGTCAAGCTTTATGCGAATTAAGAGATTTTATGTTAACGATAATTTATTGCAATTAAAACTGTTTACACCGTACCTTACGGTAGTTATACAAATAAAAGAATTGGGAACGGGACTTCGTAATATTTACTTAGTATTAAACAGCAAATTCTATCAAAAACTTGACATTAAGTAGGTAGTTATGAAAAATGTTATACTTATGAATTAATAAAAAGGAATGCCACATTCGATATTTTTAATATGTGTGGACATGTATTTAAGTGTAAATTTAATTATTAAATTGATTTTATATGAAACAAAACAAATGAAGGCAAATTTACCAAAATGGCAAATTAAACAAATTTACAAGTTAGTATTGAAATAAAAGTTACTTCCATTATCGAGCTCCATGTAGCAATCCTTTATCTCAATAGCCGCCTACCGACTATGGAATCCAATACAAACCCAATTCGTGTATTTGTCCATTGCTTTGTTCGTTATGTCTTTTCCCGTTGAGGTACAGGCGCAGGGAAATGGTTGACTTCCCTAACTTCACGTCACCAATGTTTTTGACCTGAATTAAAGCGTTGTTTTATCTTCTATAACTGATTATATTGTTTGCAAATTACAATTTGAAATTCTCAATGTTAGTTTCGTATGCAATTGAGCGGTAGTGACAGTTGTATGACGTCGCAGGCGCCTCTGCGCTGATTGGTCTCTGCACCCCGCTCGCCCATGCGTCTCGCCTTCCCCGCAGTCGCCCTATGCGTCATAAACAACTTATATTTGCAACGGTTATTAATGAAAACATGGTTTATTACTGTCGACGTATTTTATGGAAATAAATTATACGTAATTTAATTATAAATATTTATTTGGATACTTGCTTTCGCCCGCGACTCCGTCCGGGTGACAATAAAAAAAACAAAAGTCAGTAGCCCATGTGTTCTAGAATATAATTTACGCCTACGGCAAATTTCATCTACTAACTCTAACAAACATCCATCCATCTAAAATTTCGCATTTCTAATATTAAGTGACAAGTAAGATTTAGTTTTTAAAAAATGGCTACTAAAATACTGTAAACTTCGCTTTATCTTAAAAATATGAATAAAATCAAATGTATAAAATTTAGTTTATTTTTACAATGTGTTCAAAAAGTTTAGTTTTTAATTTTAAATCATAATAATTTGAATTTAAAAGCAGCAACCGGATGTACACACAATTGTTTTAATTTGAAAGTCCCCAAAACATATTGTCTAAATATGCAAAGGCTTTTCGTCCTCCTTTCAGAATTACAATGTAACAAAAAGATATTGAGTTAACAAAGAACTGCGTACAAAATGAACTTTCATTACTTTCGTTGGCCGTAGATTTATACTCCAGAAAAACATTGTTACATCTGTTTTATGGCAGTACTTACTAATTTAATGAGTCTATTGAATGTCACAATAAACAATTAATTTAAAAAAAAGAAAATTCCCAGCGGAGATATTAACTCGCGTATACGAATAACAGTATTTCGTCTCAACTGATTGGTTCAGAGCCTACTAGCTAGGGGCGATTAGGCCATAATCAACCACGCTGGCCCACTGCGGGTCGACTTCACACATCTTTGATTTCCTTCACTGTAAGAACGCCGGGTAAATTATGTACATATAAACCCAGGATAGATTACAAGTCAAGTGCTTAAATGCCTGAACCACCGATGATATCAGCATTTGTTAAAATTTTGAAAATAACTCCCAAGGGAATTCAAATGACTGATTTATGGAAGAGTGCATACTTTGCCGACCTACATTAAAAGACAGGAGTAGGGACTTGCTAATGCGTTTCAATTTGTCGTAAAGTGGCCGTTTTCTATAATTACAAAATAATCGTGTGCTGTACAAAACGGTTTGTGGTTTTGCAGTACAAGCTACCCTTAGACTACGGCACCGGAGGGCATAATATTATAAACAAAGGAATGATGATGGATAAAATGGTACTTACGACCTCGATGCCCTCTTCACCTCCTGCAGGTCTAGTTCTAGTTCTGTTAAGTCTGTAGGCGCCAGCGATGCTGCCTGCAGACGTTATTGTTCCTAACGCGAAACCGTAATATAAAGCGAGTCCGTTGGCTAACAAAAATACGCTCGTTGTGTCCTTCGCGATGTCGAACAACCAACCATTTCCGAAGACCTTTGAACTTGGACACTGTAACCGATCGACGCGCTTGGCTGCTTGCACTCCTCCCGCACACCTCTCTGCAGGCCCCGCGCACTCCTGTACTAAAGTGGGATTCGAATCTACCCACTAGTGAGGCAGAATAAAAATGCGGTTACCCGCATTAACCCGGGCCGCGAAAATTATACCATGTGTTGAACCCGTATTATATGTACCGAACAAATCGTTTTATCTACAACATATAATAAATCCGAGGCAGAAAAAATAACGAGCGAGTTGCTACAAGTTCCCTCATACAGCGCTCGCAGCGCCGCAATTTGAGTTTTAAAACTCATCGCTTCTAGTTTAGTTTTAATTTTTTTTTCAGTTTCAGTTACGAGTATCAGAGTTCTATAAAAACGTACGCTTTAAAGCTATTTCCATGACTGTTGCCGAGAATAACTTTACTTGTGCAAAATTGAAAACACATTTCAGTATCGCTTTGAATAAGGTTAACGTTTTTTAAATGTTTTGATAGTACGTTCGATAAATCTTTTGAAAAATAGGCAATGCATTGTACATCATCAACACTTTTTTTTAAATAAAAATTTAAATGAACGAGCAAACGGCCACCTGAGACCGCCAAAATGGCGAAGCGACCGCTGCCCATAGACATCCGCAATTCCAGAGGCGTTGCCTTCCCTTATCCGACAGAGGAGGAGACGCACATAAAGAGGATATTTCCCCTTCCTATGCATCTCCTCCACCTTCAAATCTAATTCCCCTTCCCATCCTCTCCTTAAAAGAAAAGGGTGGTAAATAGAAAGGGACTTAAATTAGGCTAAATTACCACTATGTAGTTAATTATTATTAATTATTTAGTGGTATCGAAATTTAAGTGGACTGAGGATATTTTATCTGAGATAGAATTAAATGCGAACATAATAAAGTTGTCGATCTGTAGATAATCTCTTGTCGGTGTGAGGGTTTCTCCCCGTTCGGGACACGGGTGATACGGTAGGGACTTCATTAGGGCAATACTTTTAAGCTTTATCTGTGGGAATGTGGTTATAATTTAAGTGTAGTCAATAATATTATTTCTGACAATATCAATAACTAGCTGTTGCTCGCGACTTTGCATGTAATTAAAAAAAATTGCCTACGTTACTGAGTGATAACGTAACTTTTTAACGGTATAAGAATTTTTGAAATCGGCCCAGTACTTTTAGAGTTATTTCAATACATACAAACACAAATATTTCCTTTTTATAATATTAGTATAGATTGCTTAATTCATCATTTTATAACAGCTTAAAATATATCTAGAGAAATGAACTAATAATTTACTTAAGAGTATATATATTTTAATTAAAAACGCTTCATTTCACCCTAATGTGACGAGATCCTTAGCATTCAACGACTGGTAAAACAAGAGCACCCATTGTCGAGTCTTGTATCTAGAGATGAAGCTGGACAATCTTATGTGAATAGAGAATTTATTCAAAAATCAACTCTATTCCAATGTCAATAGAGAAATGTAAACCGCAGCTTATAAAATAGTCATCAAGAGAGTATGCCAATATAACAAGGACGATGGAATAATAGAAAAACATTCTAATGTGTTGGCAATAAGGCTCTAAATCAAAGTAGATCGATAACTAGAAAATGCTTCCAGATACTACGGCTAAGCGCTCAATATACCCCTTTATCTTAGATTAAAAAGGGGGTAGGCTACAATGACCGAGGGTTGGTTAGAACAGGTGTTCAAAACACTTTTTAAAGTTGATTGACCCAACTATAAAGGCATTGAACAATGGGACTTTGTTATCGCCTACGTCAGTGAGTAGAATGGGGAATAATGGTATTGAAAATCACTGATTTGAAAATATGCTTCTTGAGGTAATCATTCATTAATTCAAACTTTGAGGAGAAATAATTAGTTTTGTTAACCTACACAAGTTTTACCTTTCGAGTATCTGTAAAATAATTTTAAGCGTCTAACGGCCGATTATTGAAACGACATTTGAAACAGCATCTTAAGTGATAACACTTTTGACTCCCAATTACATTACAATGTTGACATTAGTCAGATTGTAAGCGCTTGCGAAGTGCTTTATGATTCGTTTCAGAATTCAGGCGTTAATTTTCTAATGCAAAATTATGAATTAATGAACCAATGGATGTTTGATAGGGTTTGTAGCGTAACGGTTGAAGGGATCTTGATAAAATTAGGCATAGATGTAGTGGATAGTCCGTAAGAACACATAGGCTACTTACTTTTTTTTAATTCCACGCGGACGGAGTCGCGAGCGAAAGCTAGTTATATTACAAATCCGAAATTTTAGAAAGATGGACGTATGGATGTTTCGTAGGGTTTGTAGCGTAACGGCTGAACGGATCTCAATAAAATTAGGCATAGATGTAGATGACAGTCTTAAAAAAACAAAAGCCACCTACTTTTTTTTTAATTCCACGCGGTCAGTGTCGAAGGCGAAAGCTAGTTAAAGTTAATGGACAGTATGTTTAATTATTAATAACAACTCTTTCTGTTAGAGAATTGAATGTCCATCTATATTATCTATATTTCTATATTATTATAATAAAGCGTAAACACACACTTCTTTGTTGACTAAGATGTCCGCAATTACAGCATATTTTGACTATTTTTTTTTTAATAAAAAGCCCTACACTTACGTCACGATTTAGGCTTTATATTTCACGCCATTAAACTAGGGAGGTAAATATTTTGGATAAAAACCCTAATGTGGGAAAGACCATAAGTTGCTGCCAACATCAAGGAAACAAGGTTGTCATGGTTTGTCACTATGTCATGTCATTTTGACATTTGCAATGGAGAATTTGACAGATGTAAACAATAAGTAATTTTTTTATAATTTCATGCGGATGAAGCCGCACGGGAATAGCTAGTTTAATCTAAAGCAACGTCGTTTATTTCAAATGTAATCGCTGTTCATTGCGCCCTCATCTCGGAGAAAATTGCTTCAGTTAGACAAGACTTTTAACTAGAAAGGTAGTATTAGCTTTATTTAATCACTTGATTATATCTAATAGCTGTTGCCCGCGACTTCGTCCACGCAATATTAAGATAAAAAAATAGCCTATAATATGCCTGTCTACCTCAGTTACCCTTCAGTGAAAGCCCGGTCGAAATCGGCCCGGTCATTTCAGAGATTACCCGGAACAAACACAGCTAGCAAACAGACAGACAAAAAAACCAATTTCAATTGATTTTACAAACAGACACGCTAATTTTATTATAGGTATAGATAGAGCCCGATGCTGAAAACAATCTCAGACATTCGTAAGCACCACTTACAATCTATGCAACGTTAACATTACGGCATCATTGTTGCGTAGTGAAAAAAAAATACCAATCGAATTCATAAACTCATTTTTGTAGTAAGTAAGTAATAAACACAATTGTCCGCATGTGGACATATACTTCTTTTTTTTTTTTATTTTTTTTTTTTATGTGACTGAATGGCCACTGTTTGCCTTGAGGA